TGTCTTAAAAATCTGGTAACACCTTGCTATAGGATGTTTATCAATAAGTCAATTCAGTAAAGAAAAATAGTCATTTATAATTTGTATATTACTTAACATATAACAAATGTTTCATAGGTGAAAAGAAAAGACAGAAAACTCTATTTCTGATAGACTACAGGAAAAATGTATCTTTTTTAATGTATGAATTGTACATCTGAATAAATACAGAAGTAGCTTGAAAGATGTTATCTCTAAGCTCTATGCCATCCGTCATCTTTTTCATCCCTGTTTTGTATGTGTATATTCTTGATTTTTGACAAATGAGAAGCAGACAAATGCCATCGTCTATTTGGCTATCAAAAACTCATCACTTCCATGGATGAATTCTTTTACATTGCAGATGCATGCTGTGTATGTGCATTCAATCCAATAAGAATATTTTCTTTTTTTTTATTAGAAATCATCAAACGCTAAGAATAGACATACGTTCAGCTTGAATTATTTTATATTTTCTTCCTGCTATTATCGTAACACACACATCATTACGTCTTCTATTATAGACGAACGAACAATTTCATTCCATCATCATTTGCATTACAATAAACATTATAACACGGTTTATTAAGACTAGACAGAGATGCGCAACATGTACCACATTAAGAACATATTTAAAGTGGCAACAAACACACTCTGTCCACAAAAATTATTCTAATTTGATTTTTTCTTTTAATCAAAAAACTCAAATATCACACGTTCGTCAATAGATATTTGACAAGTTCAAGTTATAAACGCAAGCATCGGAACTTCAATTTGTTAACACCGAGTTCGTGAAAATGAGCTCTTCTTCTTGAAAATCCAAGTCTTTATCGTCACTATTCAATGGAACGAAAGTCAATTCTGTAGTGCTTAGAAATTCTGTAAATTGATAGGATAACATAGTGTGTGAGTGAGAAGGGAATAAGAAGTTGTTTCTGCGTTAGACACCTTTCTGTAACACTCGATTGTATCAATGATATCTAAGCGAACACGATTTCATTCTAACTGAACCAATGAATAAATCATAGAGTTCTCCAATAAGTTTATAGATGCCAATGAGATAAACAAGTCGATCCTTATATCGTCAATACCGACCGCAAAAGCTATATATTCATTCTTGTTGGAATACATTCACGTTATCAAGGCAAAAGCTTGCCCTTTGTAAATTCAAGCTTAACTAAAAATTGACTTAAATTCAATCGTTGTTTCTTTTGCTTTAACTGGTAATATATCATATCGCTACTTAAGCAACATGCGGTCCTCTCTATTAGAGCGGACAAAAAAGTGTTAGTAGTAAACGTGTTTCTTTTCACCTGCAGAATATAATAACTTTTCAGTGAGTAAAAGAAATAAACGTTTTGTTGGTGAAAAAACTTTTTTTTCTCTAATGCATAGAAGTAAGTTGTAGGCGTTACACAAACCTATTGGTGAAAGCAAAAGGATAGGGTGGGGATTAAAACGTCAAATATGTCAAAAATAATAAATGGGAATTTTGATCATGCAGTTAGTCTATATTGAAATAATTATATTTTTTCAATAGGAGTTATTATAATCGAGCGCTATGTAGAAAGTGAAAAGACATTCTTTTTTTCCTAATCATAAATCAACGTTCACCATATTTTTACACACAATAAATTGATGGTCGTAAATCATCATACGTGTGTCTTTTTTTCTACCAATCGACTTGTACTATCGAAAAAAATGAGTATAGTGCAAAGATGTTTCATGGAGAAGCAAGATTCAGTAGCCAAGAACTGAGTTGAATGATGTATATTTCAAATTTTTCATGATTTTAATTTTTGGTGAAAATCTAAGTAGTTTTTCAACACGAAAATTCAAAAAAAATTCGAAATAGTCGGATAGCATGAAAAAGTACATTATTCAATTCAGTTTTTGGTGCTGATTCCGATTACAATATTTTCATTGTGTAAAAAATGAGTTCTAATGGAGAAAAGTGCGAATTACAGGCAGAATTCCTCATTTAGAAAAAATGAATTTTTTCAGTGACGAAATAAAATTAAAAAGAAAGCCATTTATTCTTTTAAAGCGTGCTCAATGGCGGTTCTGATAAAGTAAAAACATCAACTTCATCTCTTCACAAAACAAAACCTGATAGGTTTGCAGAATTGTTTAGGAACTTTTTACAGGGACAGTCCAAGACGTGCATACTGGAGAGATCTTTGACTTCAGCCTCGATCAAACATCATTCGCATACTCAATTTTTGATGCTGAATCTGAAAAAAGTACTTCTGAATTGTTAGAAGAACAAAAAAGAGAAAGATTTGAAGTTTTTTAAACTGAAGGGTTTTTCGAAATCTTAGACCCTTTGAACTTTTTCAATTTTTCGACATGAAAAAACTTTTTCAAACATTAAAACACATTTTCTTCTCCAGATCGACGAGCTCTATTCAACTATGTATAAAAAATGGAAAAATAACAAGCTGCTAATTTTTCGAATTTCTGGCACCTTAAGTTACGGTTGAGCCCTACGAATATGTGAATTGTTGGTATAAACTTTATTGGAAAATGAAGAAAATCTTAATACGCATCGAAATGGCGATCCAATGAATTACATTGTATCAATTTGTATCAATATGAGAATTGTTCCTTAAGAGCATTCTATTCTCATCCTTTGGAATAGTTCGCAAGACAAAACGACAAGACCGATTGAACAAGTAAAATTTTGCTAAATACGATTGACTTTGTCCTATAGGAAACGTATAAGAGAGAAATCCTTGAACCTATGCCATCAACATCAGAAGAATGTGACGATGCAAAGGGACGTTGTCTTCCATAAGATAGCAAGTTTTTACTGAATGGTGATACCTTCTAATCTGTTTTTCATTTTGACTCTATTGTCAGCAAAAATAAGTTTTTAAAATCCTCGAATATGTATAAAAGTGTTTATTATTTCAGAATATGTTCTTGAAAATGCTCCTACATCACGTTACTTGATCAAAAACTTGAAAGAGAGGTCGAAATATTCCCACGAGTTCCTAAATTTCGTATTTTTGTTATGAATACTCAATGAAAATCTCATCTGAGCTAATACTTTTACTGTATATTGTACATTTTATGCTCTGTTGAGCTGTCATAGTTTGTAAGCTAAATAATACAATTCTTCTAATAATTACAAGTTAATGTCCAAATTATTCATTTTAAGATATTCTACAAATTTTACATGCTCAACTCGAGTTCTGTTCGAAATAGACGTCGTGTTCTCATCATCATTTGCCCAACTTTTATTTTTACTAGAAAGAGTGTTCTGTAATAGATTAAATTTTACACTACAAAAAACGGCGTTTTTCTGGAGTATGTCTATTCTATTCGGAAGATCCATGTTAGGTTATACATTATCTAATACTTTCTCTGTTAAATTTTTCTCTATTTTTCCTTAGAAAGACTCTAACCATATTTTTTTGACCGAAAATTAAAAGTTTATAAAAGTGCTTACATATAACGCTAGTCATGACTGTTAGCAAACTGAAAAACAGATTAGCAGATATCACCATTCAGTAAAAATCTGCTATCTTATGGAAGGCAACGTCCTTTTGTATTGTCACATTCTTCTGATATTGATGGCATGTGTAGTAGTCAATTGACTTACTCGCGTTGTTTCAAGCAAACTAAAAGTAGAAAAAACGTTTAATACTCTTATAAACAATACTCACAATCAGGAAAATAACGGTCAATCGGTTAAAATTTACCTGAGTAATCTTCGAACGATCTCACCTTTGTTTTGCACGTACACATTTGTTTTTTCTTCTCACTTCGCTTCTCTGTCTGAAGTTAAGATAATATTGTTTTCTTTTATTAAATCTTTCACACATTTATCGTTTTATTTGATGATCGTGTTTCTCTAAACCAGTGCGCGTCATACGTTCGCGAGTACATCATGCATAACCAAAATATGGAATTTATCATAATCTTTAAGAAAATCTATTGCTCTGGGAAAAATCTTTGCTTTTAGATTCTGATGCCGTACAGTATTAGTTTCAAAAGTGTTTTGATCAATATATGTCTTAACTTGTACTCATTTTTATTATTTAGGATTTTGTTTCTTTTGTCTTTGTATATTTTAGTGTGTGTGAGTAAATCAATCACCACTTAGGGTAAACACAAGCGCACCGATAATTTTACACGCATAATTTTCTTAAATTTGAACTTATATTGGAAGTTGCGATATAGTTCCTCCACTTAATTTAGTGGAAAGTAAGTAGAGGATTTACGAGGCTAAAAGAGAGTGACATAATTCGTGTCCTCCTAGCTTTAAGAGAGTTTCGCGTTCTAATGTTTGGTGTGTAAGTATGGAAATAGTCAGTCTATTTTGTCAATACTACAAGAGAATGAATCGTTTTAGTTGAGGAGAGACTTTGATACAATCAAAAAATGTGTAAGACAACCGTTACCCATTCGTATTAGCCGCGAGATAAGTAGAAAAAGATACTTTGTTCCCTTACTTTTCAATCCACTTTTGCCCTAACATTTTTGTTTAAGAAGATTAGTTGAATTCATCTCTTTATAAATTAATTTTGATTAGTCTGTTGAATTTTCATCAACCAATAAAAAATATATGACTTTCTCTTTTCTTGGCGAATGGTTTGTTGGAAAATTGTTTTATATATAGGCTAAAAGAAAAATGCTTTGATATTGACACGAAAAGAAAAAGAAAAAGAAGAAATGCAAGACAAAAAGAGAGAAAGAGACCCTGAGAAGCAGCGTGTGTTATTGTACTAGAACTAGATTGACAAAAAATATTAAGTGTAATCCATTTTTCTTAATTCGCGTCGTTTGCACAACGACTATATAACGGTTATTTATAATTAATTGCGGATCGTTTCTATCTAAATGAAATTCTATTAAAGAAATTATTTGAATTGATGGAAGAATACAAACTACTTTTTTATTAGCTGAGAAAAAAAGTCAGGGATAGTTACTTAGCAAATACAATATACATTATATATATATATATATATATATATATGGTTAAAACAGAGTGTAATCAAATGAATAATGGTGATGGTGGTTGGGATCATCAAACCACTCATCATTATTTAAATTCAACAAAATCTTATACAAATGTTAATTTAATTATTAATAATAATCGTCTTAATTGTAATCAATATTCACCAAATGAAACAAAATATAGTCAACAACCACCATCAAATTCAATCACAAATATTTCTCCCAATAAACTACGAACAAATGGCAATATTTCATCATCTTCTTCATCAAGGAAATCAACTCCATCAAATACCAATACGACAACATCTTCTTCCGCCTCCTCGTTATCATCCGTATCATCTACAAATGGTGGTGCACTACTACAAAAAGAAATTTATCCATGGATGAGCGATAAAAAACATAACAATAACAAGAAGAATGGATGTAGAAATAACAACAGCAGCAACTCTTCAACATCACCATCTGGTAAGTTTATTAAAAAAATTACATTATTTTGTGTTACACGTTTGACTTCGAGTTCAAAGGGAAGTAATAAAAGACAGTCTATTTATATATCGAAAGAAATTTCAGCGTTTAAATTAACTTTTAACGTATCATTTATATGAATACAATTAAATATGGAGTAAGAAACGCTCTGTTTACAAGTATGCGTTCTTGCTATGAAATATTTAGACAGCTTTTTTCTAAAGTCTAAGCTGTTTCATTAAACTGAATTAATAATGAAACTGAGCGCCATGGATTTTACTCGTGAATTTTTATCAGATGTTGGCCTGTACTCGGGCAAAGAAATATTCTCTCTATTTATTTACTCTTTTATTTGACTATGAATACTATGCATTTAACGTTAAGCAAAATATTATCATTTATAAAGAAAAAAACTCATTTATTTCGAATTAAATGAACTCATTGTTCTAGTGGTTGTTTTAATGACCATATCCATCTTCGAATGATGATCATTCATCATTTGTTTATATTTTCAGTAAAGGCTTTCGGTTATCGCTAATTAGTAGATTTGATCACAAATATTTTTGCAGAGTTTGAAATGGGAGTAAAGATATAACATAAAGTGAATGGTATAGTCATTGTATCGTTCATTTTCTACATATAAAAGGAGGATAATTCTTTTTTCTCTGAAGCAATTTTAAAATTTCTTTTTTTATTTCCCTACACTAGGCCTACTACTGCGTTAGAAGTCAGCCTTTTGTCTTTTATGGTTTACAAGATATAACTCTCGCATTTCGGTGTTAGTTGGTCTTTGACAACGTGTACTAAGAAAAAAATGGATTTTTTCCAATACATCTAGCTTTTCAAGAGTAATATTGCTTTCCATTTTGTAGGCCACATCTTTCTCTACAATCCCACATCATTTGATTCCAGACAGAGGTAAAGTTCCAATTAGAAAAAAGCTGATCTTTGCTCTGTTACACACTTTGGAATTTATGTCCGGTGAGATTTTAAAGTATAATGTTGAGAGATAAAGAAAAGACTGGAAATGATTGTCGACAAGCTACAGCTTCGAGTGCGTAACAAATTGATAACAAAATATAACTTGAGAAATATTTTCTTTGTACAGAAAATTCTATTATATTGTTGGGAGTCAAGGATTTTCAATTATGTTTTTTCGATATCTGGATAAATAATACTCCGATCAAGTTCAAACTCTGATCATTTTTTGACCTCATGTGATTTGATATTTGGTAAAAAAATGAATTCTGGCATATTATATTGTCGAGGAGAAATCTGAAAAAGACATGAAAATATCTAGTGAGATTTTTAAGAAAGAAATGGTCCGGTGAGATTTCTACATACTTATTTTCAATGAAAATAGAGCCGAACTTCAACTTATAACACACCGTTCGATATGTTATAAGCTCGGCTGAATATGTTCTATTCAACCACGAAGGCCAGAAATATTAGTTCAGAAAGTGTGAGTAACGACTTTTAACAGTCACCCTTCATCTAAAAATTTCGTTTTCGGCATTTTCAACAGAAAGTCTATGTGATAAAGTTTGGGAGTGGCATCATCGGATTTAGGTCATCAAGATCTACCTAGGTCATTGATTCATGCTATCTATTATTTCTTTCAAGTATAATTGGGTTTTCTCGCAATCACCTTGAGGATTCACCTGGTTGTAGCATCGAAAACAAGTTTTTTTGCTGTTTTGTTTAAAAAGCGTCGGGAAACGGCCTTTCTAATTAACATCCACAGTAAACGCAACCAGACACTCTGAACATCTTTTTCTATAAGATGCCGCAAATGCTCAAATGAACAGAAATCTTAGAACAATTTCTCCTACACATATTTTTCAAATAAAAACATCCTCTCATACAAACAATTATTAAAAATAGAGCGTACTAATCTAAAAACCCGTTGTAAAACATCGCTCTTATAAAGGCAATCAAGTGTAAAATATATTCCAAAAATATAAAGGACACCTTACTAATATAGACCAATCGCTTTTAGAATTCCAGTCCTGACTATTTTAATTCTGCTAGGAAAAGAATATCGTAATAAATGTCAGTATGTTTTAAAAACTACTGAGATTCGTTATATCATATTGAACGTAATGTATAAATATTGTCATTGTCATCTATTTTTATCTTTATGACAACTTAAGAAAAATTAATTAAAATAGTTAAATTACAGATAAATAGAAATGTGTGGTCATTTTTTTGTTTTGATATTGGTGACAGACTTGAATAAGCGAAAAGAACGAACGGTGTTAAATTTGATTTAAATTTAGCTCAAATTTATTCATAATAAACTTGTTAGTGCCAACTGTTCAACTCTCTATAGGCCTCGTTCCGTTTTTCATGACTATATCGTTGCATGTTAATTGGATCATGTCTATAAACAAAACTGGTACATTTGATTAAATTATTTATAGATGAGACACTTATTCAGTGATCTCAGCGTTACAAATTATTGATATCAGATTGTGTTAAAGCAGAAAGTTAAATGTTGAAAGAGTACACACGCACACATACGAGATTTTTGTATTCTAATATTTCCCCTTACCACTCAAGAATAATAAAGAAAAAACTTCGGTGTATTAGAATTTGTAAAATGTAATTTTGTTCATGTTTTTGAGAGTCTATATCCGAACATTGAATAAAAAAGGACTTAATTCTTCTACCATCACTATTGTATTTCTGCGATAAAAGTAATATGAAAAAGAATGTAGTCTGTACTTCAAAGTATATTTCTCAACGTAGAATTTGACATGCAATTAAGTTCAGACGTCCGAGACATCATTTTCATCTATATACAGAAAATATAACCAAATGCCTACATTTGTGTATTATCATTTTTGTCTTCTGACAGGCGAAAAAAATGATAAATGATCAGGATCATTTATCATTCGCGCTGAATACAGAAAGACATAGATAACACATATCTATTCTATACCTACAGTTTTTATGCGTATAGAACAAAAAAAACAAACAAGTAGAAAAAAGAAGTTGCGTGTGTAAGCAAAACCAATCCCATTATATATACAGTTTCATTTTTTCTCTCCTATGTGGTTAATCCTACCAAAACATGCCAAATTTTAAAATATGCATAGAAAACGGGTCGTGTCCATGTCACACGAATCAAGATCAGCAACGAACAAAACATATTACTTTGTGAATAACAGATTGTTCTAATGCAAAAATCACTTCTTACTCATTAAAATATACAAAGATTATAATTATTTGTGAGAAATCAGAATATCACAGAATAATTTTAATGCATAACCTTCTTCAAATAAGAAAAACTTTAAAAAAGAGATGCATTGATTTAGTTAAAATTTTGGATTGTTCATGTATTTGATATGTTTGACCAGACATCATTTAACTCCTCGACTCTCTAATATATCCGCTATGCTGGGACGGTTCCATTGAATCAGCATCAAACCAGAAATGGGCAACTCTAGCTAAGTTCAACTCCGGCAGAAATTTAGTTTGTCTTAATTCATTTTTTTCTTTATTTTATTAGCAGTTGCTATTTCGCTTATTTTTTACAAGAATACACACAAAAAAAGTCAGTTTAACAATACAAAATTGCATTTTAACAATGTTACTTTTGAAAGCGTACGCTTTACCATTCTACATTGTTGTAACGTAACAAAAAAAGAGAAACATTTTCCGAGTTAGAAAAACTTTTAACTGGAATCGTGGACTTGGAGTTGAAGTTGAAAAAATCTGAACTATAATCTAATAAAAACGCAACTCCAACTCAACTAGTCAGCTTCACTAAAAAGAAGCTCAATTCAGGAGTTGGAGTTACCCTGTATCAAACGCGTCGTACAGGAGATAAATCTGATGCTAAATAGATTAAGTTCAAGAAATAGAGATAGTATACTGCCACAGGAAAGCAATGCGATTTTCTCATAGATATAAGAAATTATGGCAATAGCTACCTAGTTCTCATCTAATAGATGTTCAGTTGTGTGAAACGTACAACAGAAATAGCAATTCTTTTTATGCAGTTATCAAAATTTGTATCAAACTTTCATTTTGTGTTTAGACCAAGAATCATCATCCAGTGCGTCGAAACGTGCTCGAACAGCATATACAAGTGCTCAATTGGTCGAATTAGAAAAAGAATTTTTATACGCTCGATATTTAAATCGTCCACGACGTATTGAATTAGCTCAACTATTAAATTTAACTGAAAGACAAATAAAAATATGGTTTCAAAATCGTCGTATGAAATTTAAAAAAGATGGAAAAGGACGAACATCTTGTGGTGATTCACCATTGGCTACAACAAGCGATAAAGATATGTGCGATAAAGATATGCTATTAAATCCACCATCATCCATAGCACTTGATGTAAAATTTTCTCTTCATCCTCAACAATATTTTTCGATGCCACATCACCATTCTCAACTCTCCTATCACAAAGCCTTTAATCACGACTGTACAAATAATGGCACTAATTCGATGTTCGATATGACCGGTACAACCAATGGATACGAATTAACTAAATCATCACCATCGTCAACATATATGAACACAAATATTTACTATAACAAACCACTGACGAATTGTAATGGAACTGGATATGGGTATGATAACATGCCACAAATGAATTTCTATTATAATCCACCACCACCAACAAACTTTTCTCCATCATACAAAGAACATTCAATGAGCTTTCTTGATTCATCAGATATATATAATACATCGAACAATATGACACAAAATCAAAAACATATGCATCTGTAAAAAGATGTCGTTTTGTTCTATTTGTAATCTCGTTTCACTCAATCTCATTTCATTTCTTGACGAAATTTGTTTGTTTCATTGATGGTTGTGTACTTAATAATCTCTAAGATGCTGAATTTTTTGCTTATAATACTCCACACAATAACGTAGTTCTTCGTTCATTTCTTTTTTTTGTATGTGTCGTCTCCGTATTCCTTTGATTACTGTTTAAAAGATATAGTTTTTTTTTATTGTATAAAGAATAATATTAAATAAAGACTAATAAGTTATAGTTGTCCCATTGCTTCAGAATTAACAGCTTATGGTGTAGCATGCATTACTATAATGAAAATCTAAGACCCTTCTTAAAACTATCTTACTAAGGTCGTCTAAGATCTTACATTTCAAGATTTTGATGCCTCTAGTTTCATTCGACCTTTTGTTTTGCTCTTATGCATCTACTGTATCGAGGTGACATCAAAAATATAACTGAATTGTACGGTGTCATTTTTCTTCATGGTTTTGCTCATACTTGCTCTGAAATTGCTCAAAAAAAACGGTTAAGAGAGTGTACACTTGCAAGTCTTTCGGATTTTGTACAATTCACCCTTCTTTCAAGCTATCTCGATCAAATATAGACTAGTATCAATCATCACTCGTAATTAACGCGATTAGATTAGATTGAATAAATCCATACATGGTGTTAAGTTATCATTGCAGAGCAAATGCATACTTCAGTATGTCAAGAGGTTTTACCAAATTAAATGTATGAACGACTGAAAATATGTGAGTAGAAGAAAAGAAAATTTGACTATAGCAAAATAAATCAAATCGAATTTATAATAAAATCAGCGTAAGTATTCCCTCTCGATTTTTGAGAAGAAGTTTAAAGCAGAGGTGGGTAAGTCAAAGTCCAGACTTGAAAATTTTTTTGATAGACTTGTACTTGACTTGGACTTGCCAAAAAAAATTTCTGTTGGACTTGTGAATGGTCGAACTTGCCCACCTCTGGTTTGTAAAGAACAGAAAAGAATGAATAATAACATTGTAAGTATATTTCGAAGTTGAGATTGGAATCTAGAGGAATTCGGAATTCGCCTAGGTGAGAATAGAATTCTGATTTCAACTGATTGAGATTGGAATTCTAACGTCAACTAGTTGTGATATGAATGGTGCCTAACTGAACTAGTTGAAGTTAGAATTCTAAACCAAACTGGATGAGATCAGAATTCCAATGTGAACTGAC